ATTTGAGCAACGCCCACACATTTTTTCCAAAGAGAGAAAAAAAACATTTTTTTGTATTCCTCCAAGACGGGGGGGGGGGGGGAAGAGTCATAAAGTTTCAAGATTATATGAGAGACTCAATAAATAAATATTAATAAATAAATAAGTTTAAAAGTGACTCATAATAATGGTGCTAATACTGTCTCCCTACACAGGCATTTCTCTTACAGCATACTGTTATGCCAGTGGACAAATTTTCAATCTTAGCAGTGAGATTTTTTAAAAAACTTTTTGTGGGCTTCTCTATAAGCTCAAAGAAGCTTTTTTTTTTTTTATGAGTAGCAGAAATACACAAAGCAGAAATACATGGAGTTGTAATTAGGTATCACGAGATCTTTTCTTACATGGCAATAACCCCAAAATAAATCTGTGTTGATTGAGTGAAGTCCAGAAATTCAGTGGAATCTGTTTTGGACCACAAGCGGTCTCCTTTGTTCAGCTTGAAGACAGCCCCTTGATAAATAGATTCAAACCACAGTTTTTTACTGCTGGAGGTGTCCTCACAGACAGACTTAATGGATTTTAGCAATTCCACCTCAGAGTTGAACTCTGAGGACAGGCAACTGATGTTGTGGGTGAGCAGAAGAGGTTTTGTGCAGTGGTCTTTGTGGAATACGAGCTGAGAGTAGACGAAGTACAATCCATCAGAAGGCACAATAAGGGAGTTGTCTTGCTCATTTAGCGTCATGCCGTTCTCCAGAATGGAAGGGACCACATTTGTAGTCCACTTCAGTTGTGGTGCATGAAAGGAGGAAGCTGTGAAATGAAGGAAAATCAGTGTCAAGGAGAGTGACTGGTCAACTTAAAGAAAGAAGAATTCCTTGTACTGTACTTGTTTCTGAGGCACTTTTTCCCTCAGGTGCCCTCCAGAGATGCTCAACTGCAGCTCTCCCAATCCTGTGGCTTCTAGGGTAGCCCATGAGTTTGTGGGAGCTGTGGTATAAAACATCTGGAGGACACCACATTGGGAAAAGCTGCTTTCATCTCTTAGATTTAGTGGAACTGGGATGTATTTAATGTCTTGGTGGGCCTAAGCACAAAACTGGTTCCTGCTTTGGGAAGCCTTCAGGCAACTTGACTTGAGCCAGTGTGTGTGCAAGGTTGACCCCACCAAACTCTGTCACTAGTCCCATAGGAGAAAGCCTGAATTGCACAACTTCAGCAGGGCTTGCAATGTATTCTTAAGTAAAATTTTTCCATGCTAGATGATCAAGTGCTAAAGTTCTAGTTCTGCCAAAGTAATGCACAAACAGTGGGGTTTGGGCTACGGGAGACCCAGCTGCCAACTGAAGCTCATTAGATAACTTTCTACTAACCATCCTCTCTCATCTTAAGCACTTTGTATAATAAACCACAGCCTAGAGATGTTTGGTGAGAATCAAAGCCAAATTAAGGCAAGTCCAAATTCATCAGTGTACAAACCTCCCCTTTCCTTCCTCTTAAGATCTGCACTTCTTGTTGAGCATAGTCAGTTGCAAGTATGCTAGAAGCCCACAGTTTCAGAAATGGCCCCCGTTCTTAAATGTTTCTTCTTTCCAAACATAGCATTTTCATCAAATCATAAAAGCAGCCCATGCTATGTAAGTCTGAAGCCCATCTCCAGAAACCACATAGTATTTTCATGAAATCATAAAGGCAGCCCATGCTATGTAAGTCTGAAGCCCATCTCCAGAAACCCCTTTCACGCTACTCAAAATGTCTCCTTACCAACAGCATGGGCAGCTGGTTTTCCAGACCTCAAGGCTTGCACTTTCATTGTGTCGGGCAGATGTTCTGCAAAGATTAAAGAAAAAAGCAGTCAGATAATGCATCAAGATCCATTTCTTTTGTCATAGCGTGGCTCAACCATTATGTTGTGTACGCCATAGCTGGCTAGATAATTATTATTGAATACAGATATATTCAAACTGCCCATGACAAGCAAATATTACATAGCTTGACTTCCTTCTCTCCAATTAATTCAGTGGGACATTCCTGCTTTCTGACCACCTTCCCTACAGAATTGGTAAGGAGAAGTCCATATACTTCCAAAGAGCATTAAGTTTTCAGCAATGGCTATGTGTTGGTTTCAGACTATGTCTCAACTCTGGCCATTCCTAATCAATCAATCAATCAACCATTCCTAATCAGTACAGTAAATATCCGGGCTGAGCAGGAATGAAGGGATATAGGATCATAATAGAACTATGGAGCATTAGGTTGGAGAAGGATGCACGGTTCACTAATGTGTTGGGAAAACTTTCCTAAGAAAATAACATTGCTTAGAAACACTTACCAGAAAATGAATTTCCACGTGTTTTAGAGTCCTACAAAAGAAATGGGGAAAGAAATGAATAAGGATGTTGCAGTGATACCACTTCTATTATTAATGCTATTATTGTATCAATTGTTTAAAAGAGAGCCAAAGTTATAAATGTCCATTAAGTAAGGGGCATGTTTGCAGTATAAGATTAACAGAAGAAAACTCTGCAAACACACAAAAAATGAGAGATAAGCATTGTTTATTAAATATACTAAGCCCATGGGGATGGATTTCCAATCATCCACTTGGTCTCCAGAAAGACTGACAAACGCTTATCGTACAGGCCAATTCTATATGCCTTCAGCAAGAGACTGATTCAGCAACTAATTGTTGCATAAAATAAGTATCTTGGGAGGGTTAAAAAAAAGTGTGGTTACAAATAAAGCCATGCATTTCCCTCCTCTCTGCTTTTCTTCTGACTTTGGCCACCAGGTCAAAACTCTGCAAAAGCAGAGTTGAGGAACCCACAGCCACCTATCATAAGCATTTTGCTTACACTGATCTGAAAAATATTGCAATCAAAGACTCTGCTAAATTTGCTTTGATCTCAGGCATCTGATGCTCATTTAGATGCCATGCAGGGAGAATAAAAGGCCCACATGGACTTATTTATGCTGGTCACCCCTAATGGCAAAAACAAATTTGGGCATATGTTACGCACTTCTCAGAGACCACAAATCATGGCACCCGTTGTGGAGATCCAAATTCGTACTTATCTTGTTCCTATACATTTTTTTATTCCTTTTAGTAGGAATGTTTTAAGCCAACAACGTTAACCATCAACTTCCCATTATTTCTTCTTAAAACTCTCAAATAAGAGTTGGACTTCTGAGGGGAAAGCTAATTTAGTATAATATGTAACATTATCTTCCTCCTCCTCCTCCAAAGAGAGCTATTTGCTTTTTCCTTCCTTTATTCAGAAGATCTGTAATCCATTTCATCATTCCAAAGTGGAGGAACATGGGCTTGCAAATTTCACCCCATCTCACTTCGCATCAAGCATCTGCTGAAACTTCCCTAACAGACACTCACCCTACACCCATCTAATGTTACTCACCTGCTTTTCGGACGGTCCAAACGCGCCAAGTTGCAAGAGGGCAAACACGACCATGGCCCCAATCAGAAGCAAGAAGGAGCAGATGCTAAGACACTTCCAATGGCTGTCTTTCTGGGGTGATTCCCGGATCACAACTACGCTCCCTTTCTCCACATCGTGCACCAAGTGCTCAGAACTCATTGTGGCCGGGTGTGCTTCAGAAAAAGGGTGCACTATTCTTTAAGGGGACAAGGTGAAAAGTTCCTCAGGGGATTCTCCTTCGGCAGGAAGAGAGCAGCTTCCTGGTTTTATTCAGGTGGGCTTCACAGATGCAGCTGCCTCAATTCGGGTTGCTTCGAAAATTCAGCCACCAGTCAAAGCAGCAAGTACGGGTAGCTGATTCTGGCAGGCGAGGAGTTCTTTTAGTTGTTCCTGTTGACTTGTGGCCTCCTTGGGATTCACTTGAGGGAAGGTTCCTGCGTTCTTGCTTTTTTTTTTTCTTGTTAGCCTTTCTTTCTTCCTCTCTGCTCTTCTTTTCGAAGCAACGGCAGCTTTATTCAGAGGAGGCTCGAATGTCTTGGAGCTCTTGATGCTTCCTTTTAAACCCTTCTCGAAGTGAGAAGTCCGTACTGCCCCCACCCACACAGCTCAGGCTTACATCTGTCAAAAAATGAGCAAGAGGAAAAAGCAACGCTGTCACAGAAAGAGGAAACTGTCACAGAAAACCCTTGTGAGACGTCTTGGAATTGCAGGTTGGTGGTTTCAGATGGAAGGAGGCCACCCCGCCCTTTTTGGCCTGGTTTGTTCATGAGACTGGAAGAGCAGGTTATTTAAATGGTGTGATAAATAAATTCACTCTTTCTTTTCCTGGCTAAGTAAATAATGCCGGGGGGGGGGGGAAATATAACAGGAGAGGAGTTTCAAGAGAGATAATAATGCAACGTTGAAAACTTAAACCGTGCTGCCATGTTTTTTTT